TTGTGACCACTTTGTAGCTTGATGGTTGACTGGACTTGTTATCCGCTGCGCGACAAAGAACCAAAAATAAAACCGCAAACAGAAAAATCCAGAAGGTTAAAATTTTCACCACCATTTTGTATGGATGATCTGTTCAAAATCTAAACAGACATTGAATTTTTAGGAAGATTAACGAAACGTCTACGGGAAATAAAAACGAACAACGTAATAAAAAATACACATAAAAACATATGAACGGCCTACAATAGTTTATAGCTGTTGATGTAAGCAATGACGCATTCAATTAAAGTTTTCTTCGCATGATACAAAGTCGACACAAAAATGACTAGAGATCTTCATTTAGAGACAAGATAATTCAATACGAGCAAAGATATTAGAATTTTGCATGTTTCTCCTGCATTTTTCGATTATTTGTAACTTTCTTCAGCGCCAGGTTTCTAATGAATTGTTGGATCTACGACGTCTTTTCTAACGGAAGAAGTTCAACGTTTGGATCACCTTTTTACTTAGCGTGTGACAACAACAAAACAAATTAAAATTGATAAAACACGAGAAAATTTAGATTGCCGTAACATCAAGCAAATAAGAAAAGCAAAATCGGCAGGAGAAGTGGCCTACATTGTCAGATGAGTCTCTTCGGTCAGAATCCCTGCTTCGGTCTTGTCGCTGTGCGCTGACTCAAGTGATATGATTCTCGATAAAACAAGTTCGTAACGTAATAGTTAAACAATTATTTTTTGATGAACCTTGCCATTCTTAGAAAGACAACTAGTGGTCAGACTGCATTTGTTCGTTCCCAATCTATCCAATTAAAGGAAGTCTACTATTAGTCACACTCCGTTACGCTTACGCGTTGCCAGGTGTGATGACAAAATTGGAATAACGAGTAGAAGTAAAATCTTTGTATTCCGTTGGTTTGCTGGCGCGCGCATTTTTCAAATAAATTGTTTTGAAATTTAGATTATTGGAAGGTTATATTTTAATCGTAACGACTCAGACGGAGAAATTTCTCCCTGACGTGCAACAAGACACACTCTGCTAACTCGTCCACCGTCTTCATAGCGCATTATGTATAACTTATTATGTAGATAACAAATTAAACTGTCTGGTCTTCTAAAAAAATTCAACAAAAGCCCTCATAACTGACCCAACTGACCTGCAAATTGTCAAAGAAATTAAAAGCATGCTCGGTAAAGCGTTAGTAAAGTCGATTATGCTCAATCTGATCGGTAACCGTTAAACATGTCAAACTGAATTGAGACGATTGAGCACTTTTCCTATTTTCAAGCATGCCAACCGACATAATGCCATTACATAAACAACAAGTGATGTCTACAGTACAAGACATCTCATGTTTACCGTGGAAACAGTTCAATTCAAAGCGCGCCTCTTTAATCAAGTCTGTCGAAGCAGATCCTTTTGAGAAATGCATAGACAAGCTTAGTTTAACAAAAGAGGTCGAATAAAGTTTATGAAGCAAATTTTATAAAGTTTTGTTTGAATTATTCAAAACGCATTCTTGCGAGACCGTCTCATTCATATTAAACACAACCCACCTTTCTGACTCACAGCAACTTTTCCAAGTTTGGTCGAGGAAAGCTTCAGATTACAATGAACTGAGTCTTGAACTACAGAGAGAAAAGTAAGAGCGTGACAAAAAAAAAAAACATCTTTCCACATTTCATTCCTTACCTGCGAACTCAAAGGTTTACCATCTGTCTTATGCTAATTACAAACATGACACTATCGACATCGGTCTTAGCACTATTCAGGACACGTGTCGTATATAAACCGCAAAGAGTGAGTCTGTTTGGCTCAATGGTAGAGCATTGATTCCTCATCTCCCAAGCTCCGTTAAAAGACGAAAAACGTCATTCTCTATTTCTATACCGAGCTCAACATATACCATCTCTCTTATTCTATATACCAACCTTCATGTTCTTTTTCATTTCATTTCTATTTTGAGCTCGAGAACCTCGAGGAACTTTTCGATGTTTGGGTAATTTTCAGATGAAAGCAACTCTGGACCGTTTCATTCGGTCTTTCATCATAACTTTCTTCAAAAAGTTGCAGTTATTGAATCAGTATTATCATTCTTGGAAGGATACGAAAAATCGCGAGAGACTGAATCAGATCATCAATGTTTTAATTCACTCCCGCTTGAACTAGCGACATATCAGGCCGTAAGTACGATGGCTCTCAAGGGCCATCCACCTACAAAAATTTTCATGACTTTATCGCGCGATAAGTTTT